CTATAATTAATTGAGCCATCCTCGAAGGTATGATTCAGCATAAAGTAACTCGACATGAAACGCGAACATAACGCGTAATTTATTACACAAAATGTGTCGCATTTTTGCAGCATTGAATTTTTATTTAAGCGTAATCCAAATTCTATACATTTTATTTTCTTCCTTTGACTTTCTTTTCTTTTTCATTGTTCTGGCAGTACTACGAATGTTATTTATAGAACATCGATAAATGTACTTTATGATGACGATGCGATAACAAAGAATAATTTTTTCCATCGTTAATAGCAATTAGTGCAATGAGTTCCGATCGCGTCTAGCGATGACATCGAAAGTAAATTTAAAGAAGAATGACGCGAGCGAACTTTTACAAGCTTCTTTTTCTTCCTCGTTTTTTGTCACCACACGAAGAAGCCTCGATAGAAAATTGCATTGTATTACTTGCCATTCGATGACCTGAATGTAGGTCTTACAGAATTACGAGCATTGCGTGAGCTCGCTATCGATCGCGTGCAATCGACAAAAAATCAAAATTAGTGCATGCATGTCTCACGCGCGAAACGTCCTCTTTCACGAAGAAAAAAAGAGAATGGCATACCGCTGACAATAACAAAGTTGCTTCATGTCTAATATTAATCGAACTAATCTTTTTCGTATCATAAACAGCGATAAAATTAATTTATTAATGAACCATAAGATAATAGATTTTAATTTTCTTAAAATCAATTAAAATTATATTAAGATATCACGAGCATTATTATAAGTTATTATAAGTTATTAAAAAGATATTATCATAATTTTTCTTTTTACATATAAGTTTACTTTTAGTATATTAAATTAATTAATATTTGCAATTTTTTACAATAATTTTTAATTATTTAGTAAAATTATTATAGCATTATAGATCATATATCGATGAGATCGATGTGTCATCGATTAATTTAACAACTAATTGCGCAATTAGCAACAACGCATGAAATTCAACCTTCTTCTACCTTTGATTGAATTCTATTTTCCTCAACTTCGATATTAGTAGAAAGGTTGAACTATCCTATATTACTACATATCGCATCTGCGATCACTCCTTTAATTAAAATCCGGTCAAAGTTGCGCTCCACGTTGTAATCGAGGCTGATTTAATCATTCGAGCTTCGACGGGTTTATCTTCTTCTCTTCACAGGGCGTCCACTGCCCTTGTTCAAACGTGTCAACTTAGTCATATTATATGACGCATCCGTGTGCACACGTGAACGATGGAGTCGAACACGCTCACCGAGTCGGATCAATAACTCCAGGAATGGGCATTTGCCGGTTGGCAAAGTTGCTCTGTGCGGAGTAGCCTGTTTCTGGTCTTCTAGTCGGAAACGAAAGCGGAAGTAGTCTACGCTTGTAGGAATTCCGCCCAGATCTGTTCTTGTGACCTTTTTCATAAGAATCCACAAATTCCATTTGAAAGCTGAACAATCGCATCTTCTTCTAGAATAGCTCAATCTTATTTAGAACAATTAAACGGATTATCTTTATAACAAAATTTTAAACTTCAAAGATTTATATTCATTTTGCAACTTTGTTTACTTGTCGAGCATTGAATTATATTTTAAAAATAACAGAAATGTATATTAAAATTAAAAATATTAAAATTAATTAAAATGATTATTGGAATATTTATTTGATTATTGGAGTATTTATTGGAACATTTTATTAACAGAATATTATACAGAGTATTTTCCAGAAATCGTGGTACGAGAAAGGAGTAATTAAACATAAAAAAATAAATCAGGAACATAAAATAAAATTTTTTTATGAGACTTTGTTTTCAGAAAAATTGACTTTAAATATTCACTGGGTACGTGAATCCCGCTGTAGACTACAATCTCGGTTCATGTTTGCGTTTATCGTATTAGATAATCGAGAATACCTATATAGCCAAATAATTTATAAAGTAATAAAATTCATATATGATAAATTTTATTACTTTATAAATTGTTGAAGATAATTGCTTCAAAACAATGAATTTAGAAAAATTTTATTCTACGCTCTCAACTTATTTTTTCTTATAGAATCATTCTTTTCTTAGGTAAACGATTTTCACACATTCTATATATTTTTCAGCTAGCATTTTTATAACTTTACGTATATTTGATAAAATGTATGTATAATATTATAGAAACGCTGAAGGCTTTGATAATTACTTTTGATTTGAATTTTTAGAATATGTAGTAATCACGATTGCCGGTCGTAAAGCAAGATACACAGTCTGACAGAACGAATTGCTTTCTCTGGTGCAGTTATTTCTAACGATCCGATATATTACTCCGGCCACGTGTTTGTCATGATAGAGTTCGCGTGAAATTCCCACCGTGTGTTATAGATTTCTTCATCTTGGCAATTAAACAGAAAGAGAAATAAAAATATATCCGTCGGGAATATTTTTTGGAAACCTATGTTTCTTGACAGAATATCAATATTTTTTGAGAAGAAGGACAAAAAAAAGATGTTGTAGATGTACAGATTAATGAAGAGTAATGCTGAAATATCTAAAAATTTTCTCAAATTTAACTAAAATCGCACGCAATACACATAATGTATAATAAACTATTTTTTACTTAAGTGTGATTTCACTCAGGCTATCATATTTATGCATGCGAAATATTATTTTAAAGTTTATTTCGTGTCTCCGACCGAGTTAATTACTCACAGCTACGATGACGTGATCAACCGAAAGTAATTTGATCCACTTCTAAGTCACATACTGTAAATTGAAAATGAAATTCATAATTTCATAAAAGCTTTTATCTTGGCCAACAAATTATTCCAACCCACTCTAGAAAATTATTTTTAATGGAATTTATTTCTAGAATCTGACGACACTCTATGTCCTTTTAAATAGATATTTATATCGATTTAAATAAATTCGTATTTGCGACAGAACATTATTCTAATTTTAAACTGATACGTAATCTTTATGATAAGTATCGCAAAATAATGTGCTATATGCCCGTAAGGATGACTGAAATATTTACTTCAAGAAAAAAGTCACTGTTGAATCCGAATGTAAATTACTGATGTTCTACAATGATGCCATAACACAATGATTAATGATGAATGAAACCAAGAGAAATTGCAATAATGCATAGAATCTAAAGATCGATACACGCTTCCGATCTGACGATTGTAAGGCGTAATTGTTAGGCCCGCTTAAGAATCGTTGCTCCTTTAGTCATCATTCCTTCAAACACGGATTTCTTGTTTCGTGAAGTAATTTTACAATGTTACTCACCAAGGTCAATCGACGTCGATTCACAGCAATACAATCTATTTCGTAGCTCCGTTTATGATCGTTCGCGTGTCTACCTCCGTTTATGTTCAACTCTCAACCACTTTTACCCTCTGCTCCTTAAAGTCTACGCTGATCGAAATCACGCTTATGATTGTACGCAGTCAGTCGTGATGTATCGCATATTTGTGATATATCATATATGCAGGATATGAGGGATTGTTGTAAGACTCATCTGAAAATTGATTATTTGTTTCTAATGTATGAGGAATAAATTAATGGGATTTTTTAAGCGGAACACATTTTTTTCTCGAATTTTTTTACGTAACAAACAATGATATTTCAATATTATAATTCTGAATTTTCAAATAAAAAACTCGATTTTGCAAATTTTCTAAACTTACTTCGAATATTTCACGAAAATTAAATTTGAACAATTTTTATTTTTTATAGAGATAAGAAGGAATCTTTTTTATAATGAATAGAAACAGGTGAAATATTTTTCATTTTTATTTAAAATTATTTCAAAACTTTCTATTATTTAATCGTTAAACTGTATCTATTCATCACGCACATTATTGCACTGAAAAAAATTTCTGGTTAAAAATGAACAAATCGGAAGATTTTGATCATATCAATCAGAATTTTTTTTATCTCAATTAGAATTATGATGGATTCAATCTGAAAATTATGATTTGTCTTATTTTTAATGTAATTCAATTAATGCAACCAGATTTTTTCCAATGTGTCTATTCACCGATAGACTCGCACTTACAAAATACCGTTGGTAATTGCTGTCGGTCTGATTGCTGTAATCTCATCGTCAGCACGTAATATCTGTGGCACGTAGAGAACAGGTTGTAATTTACAATTGAAAGCTGTCGTCATTGCACGCATTGTAGAATTATATCGAAATAGACACATATAACTGTGTCGAATGTCTATATCATATTCAGCTATGAATTATTCATAGCATATTTAAATGTCGGAAATTTTTAGATATTCTAATTTCTGATGCTAATAAATAAAAATTGTGTTAAACATCCCATTAAAAGAATTCTTCTAAAAGTAATGGAATCGTTAAAATATAAATAATACTGCAGAATAGAATACGTATTGAATAAAGTTTTCCATTAGCTTCTCTATTGGTTTTATATTAATTATTAATTTATTATAAAAATGTATATTAATTATTAATTTATTATTGCAACTAATATTCATTAAGTTTCTTGTATTGATACAAGATTAATCTTCTTTTTATAAATAATAAATAATTAAAATAATATTATACATTGTGTGCAAGTGTTTCTATAAAATATTATATTCTAGGGTAGTTTCTCTCTTAGATTATCTTAAATATAATTCGATTTTTTAATTATTTTTGTAATTGAAGATAAAATTGTTTTTTCTACATTTTTCCTTTGGTATAAAATTTAATATTGGAGCTACTTTCCGTTAGCTCGCTTTTAGTACAAAATGTATTTTCTTCTGGCACATCTCCGATATCTTCTCCGTTGCTTTTATCATGCGCGTACATCGTAATGCAGTGTCTCTAGTAGTATGAGACAAAGGTAGCCCTCGTCTGACACGCTGCGACATTCATTCACATTGTAGCGGCATTGATGTCGATCGCTTGATCGTAAACCTTCACGAAGACTCGTTGGTCACATGTTTACGCAACAGGTTTACGGGGAACCATATTGATCAAGGCGAAGTTGAGGTATACCCCATAAGAGTACGTGAAAGAAATCAATATGGATTCGCAGCAAACCGCGAACAGTGTGGTCGAACCTGCTTCGAGCCACGGAGAAACTATGGTAAGCAATATAGAACAAGATACATAAACTGAACGTACGACGATCATTAATAAAGAATCTATGATAGTGATTATATATTCATACATCTTTTATATTGACATCTAATTCTAATAAATGAGCTTGATCTCGTTATGATTAAAAAATTTACTTCTTTGGGAAAAAAATGAGGATTTTGCGTTATGTAAACATAACATCGAAGTGAATGCATCGCGAAAGTCAATTCGTTCGTGGTTTGATCCTATAATGAGCCGAAAACGGTGGCAGGCACGGTGAAAATGGCATGACGAGACGTCACCGATCCGCATTATCAAAAGATCGATAAACTCAGGGCCACTATTTCACGAATTTCAACTCGCGTCAGCGACTGTAGTTTCTCTCGCAGTTTTCACATTGTTATCATAGTACATTTTAGTGTGCGGATTAACCTGCAACACGAAATGTCGCGTTAGAAACTAACGAAATTGAATTATGAAAATACTGATAATGATAGCAAACAATTGCTAGAATGTAGCGATTGTTTGCTATCAACCTTAAAACGCGTTATTCGAAATTGACAACGAGAAGGTCAATGATGGTTTTGTGTCGGAAGTTAGGGTTACAAGATGATGCAGAAAATTGAGTCGTTTATAGACTCGCAATTTGAATCGTGGCATAACGAAAAGATCAATGGTACTAAGGTCAAGGTTAATTTTGTCGATCAATTTGTGCCTCGTTGCACCAATAACCTTCGGTTTTTTCATATGCCAATGTCACTCGAGATTATCTCGCATCGCGAACGTTTTCGGTGCCAAACTGCGCGTTTTAGATCCTACTGCATGTTGAATTAAGGTATCATAATTCATTTAAATCTATCTAACAAAGAAGAGATAAAATCGACGTTTAAATGAAGGCAGAAAACTTGGAATTAATTGAATATATATTCATTCATTTCCTGAATACTTTCAAGCAGCGTCATTGAGATCAGATTTTGACGTCAAAAACGCATGAATATGTATTTGTACTCACGATAATAAAAAATGTGCCTGTGCTAGTTTAAAGCAGATCTTAGATACTCAATATTATTATACAATTATTTTGTTAATATTTCTTTTAAATAATTCAAAAAAAACAAACAGTATAGTAATATCACCTCCTATAGAAGATTATTTGTTATTGTATAATATTTGATATTATACAATAATATGGATTGTTAATAAAAAATCTAGATTGCTTAAACAATGCCCTTTAAATTGATAATGACTATGTCTAATAAAATGATCAAAATTGATTTCAACAGATTATGACATCTTCAATTCCTGCTTCATAAGTTTTTTAAACCATGAAGCACTGCAATCATAACAATATTCGGGCAAAAATTCAGAAAATTTTATAGAATATTCAGTATTTAATTTTTCATAAATAAAAAAAATAAATAGCTTATGATATAACATACCACAGAGCTCCAAGCTCGTTTATTTTCTGTCAAACTGACAATTTATCATAGAGACTCACTGACGAATACATATTTCCGCACAGATTCCGCACAGACAAATGCTATTCTTCCACAGGTGAAGCCAAACGCTCCTTTACCACAACAAGGATTTCAGGCGCGACCACAAGGTGCCCCTTCGTCTCCTAGAAATTCAATAAATAATGGTTCTATAGGCGCACCTCGACCTGGACCACCATTACGGCGATTGGACAGTCGTTCTACTTTAGGTCCACCACCAGCCTCGGGTCAATTCGTGCAGCTTAGGCCTTACGGTCCGCCAAGACCACCGGGAGGTTCTTTCCCTCCAAGATCACCGCAGACCGGCCAGTCCTTGCCTCCGCAGAATCCGCTATTACCTCCTAATCAACGTTTTGTGTATTCTCCGGGAATCCGAGGTCCCCCGCCACAAGGAGTAGGAGGTCAAAGGCCACCCTTCGTCGTTAACCAACAAGCGTATCAAGCGCAGCAACAACAGCAACAGCGAGGTGGTAACGATCCACGATTTCAACGACCGGACGTTGCTCCTTCGCAAAACGAACCTCGAAGACCTAGCCAAGAATCTATTTTCCCACGCCCACAGTTATTGAGAAATGATTCATTGATAAGCTTACAACGACAGCATCTTTTATCAAACGAGGAAATCAAGCAACCGACACGACCACGTATTGTTATCGAAAAGATGGCAGACATTAATGAGACAACTGCTGATAAACCGGAGGGCTATCTGCAAAGAAAGAAGTCCGATGTTCGTGAGAACGGCGAGAACGACGACGACGATGACGTTGTGATGGATAATAACAAGTCGCCGCGACACAATGGTGATGGTACTTCTGAAGAATTGATGAATGGATCCAAATCACCTTCAACCCCAAGAAAACTCGATGATGTTAGTAGACCCGCGAGCCGTCCGGGGACGGCTACTATCGAAAATAAGGTAGAACAAATGGATGACAAGCAAGACATATCCTCAAGACCGATTTCTGCTAACATCGATAATACGGCAACGCTTATTTCTCAAAGCAGACCATCTTCCACAATAAATAATGATAAAGAAGAAAAAAAGGAGGAACAACTCGCTGATAGATCGCCATTAAAAGAGATTGATGCTGCATCCGAAGAAATAAAAAAGCCCAGTAGTTCATATAATAACGATGCACAGAATATCGAACAGAGTCTGAAGACTCCTCCGAAATCTTCAGACAATTCGCGGTCTGTCACTTCATTCTATTTGGACACTCCTCAGAACGCGGAACAAAACAGAAGTCCGGATAAATCGCGTTCTAGCACTCCAGCCCGACTAGAGCCGGCTGGAAACGCGGAACAAGAACCAAAGACTCCAGTCAAGACTCCTGATAAGTCGCGTTCGAGCACTCCAGCCGACTTGGAATCATCCGGAAACGCGGAAATGAAATTGACGACACCGGAGTTGAAAACGCCAGATAAATCGCGTGCGAGTACCCCGGCTTCGCAGTTGGCGTCATCTCCGAATGCGGAGAGAGAGCTGGAAACCGCGGCAAGAACACCCATCAAATCACGTTCGAGCACACCACAAGCTGGAATAGACTCGATCAACATCGAAGCAGATAAACCCTCCGAGAATCCGCATCGCGACAAATCCGCCGAAAGCACTCTGCGGGTGAAAGAGTCCAGTAGACTAGCGTCAGAGTTGAGTTTGACGAGCGAGAAAGGCAACAAATCACCGAAGTCTCCGAGATCACCCACACCAGGGAATCGAGACAAACTCTCGGGGTCGATGTCACCCGAAGATATAAAAGGCTTCGATAACGGACAGCTGAGAACGCTGTCTTCCAGTCGTAGCCCTCGATTACCGAAATCACCTGTCGATAGCGAAAAACACATGGAGGACGAGAAAAAGACGTTCTTCGTCGAAGATTCAGTTACCGATGAAAAAGCGAATAAAACGTCAGCAGTGTCAAAGCCCACCACTCTAATAGTTAAAACTTCAACATCGGAAAAACCAAATGATGAGAAGGCGGAGAAGAAACCTGCGGAGAAAAAAGGTCCTTGCGCGTTCATGCGCAAATTGAATAAAAAAAAGATTATAATTATTTACTTCGCAAATGTCAATTTGTTCAGATTCTCTTGCTTCATAAAGATTCAGAGCAGCTTTTCGTTCATCCTCTCCAAAAATTTGATATATTATAAAATAATTATAAAACTAATCTCAAATAAGTTCTATTTCTATCTACAGTATATATTTAAAATTAGCTGTCGTTAAAATGGAAAATATTTTAAAATTTATTTAAAACAAATTAATAATTTTACGAATTACTCCGATTCTATATTCGAGACTCTTGAGACTTTGTTTCGGTGCGACACAATTCTGACGTATGCATATTTTTAACTGATTACGTTGTAGTAATATATTGTTCTTTTTCCTCACAGCAGTCCAAAACGGTAGAGGGAGAGAATCAGTTAGTGGGGTAAATATCTAAAATTACATTTATATCTGTCTTTTCCTTCTATTTTTATATGTCGTAGTATCAAAAATATCTCTTTCCGATATATTAAAATTGTTTCAAATAGGCACAGAGTACGAATGGAGATGACAAAAGATCGAACGCTGGGTCGCCTACGAAATCCGCTAAATCATTACCGAAAACTCCTGACACACCTACGTCGACCACTCAAGATAAAAAAAGTAAGTATTTCTTGTTTTATATTAATTTAGAAATAGGTTACTTTATACTTTGCATAAACAAAGTCTGACATACGCTATCAACGCTGAAGCACTTGATAATTATCCTAATATCTTAAAAGTTAGTGCTCGTTTCATATAAATAAAATTGCATCTCTTTTACATTGCTGAGAAATTGGACTGAATGCCATAGAAAAAATTAGAGTAAGGACAATGTTTAAAAAGTCATATTATATTAATGTAACGTGTGTCCAAACGATTTTGTTTTTTAATCCTGCAGAGGTGCCGATGAATAAAGTTCAAGTTGGCGCTGCGCCCTCCCCGAACCTGAAGACTGTACGATCGAAGATCGGTTCTCTAGACAACGCGAGTTACAAACCGGGAGGCGGTAAAGTGAAAATTGAGAACAGGAAGCTGGACTTCAGCAAAGCGCAACCGAAGATCGCTGCGAAGAACGAGAAGTATGCGCCCAGTGGAGGCGATAAAAAGGTTGATCCTTTTGATTCCATATTAAATTAAGCATTTAATTAGCGATAAAAATATTTTTCATGTTTCTACCAACATTTAGTTTAATTTTAATCTTGATTTAACTAACTCTTCATTTTTTTTCTCTCTAGTTCTGAGAATTAGAAAAAGATAAAGAATAAGTTGAACCAAGATTAATCTACTTGATAGAAACAAGCATTAGAAAATATTTCTATTTTTCTCTTCGATGTTCGTCAGATATCAAAAATAGTATCAAAAATTGAATTGGTGACTTATTCCGATGACTTTGAATTTCAAAGCTTTGGCATTA